TGGGAACATTCACAAGAACAGGGTGTGGAATAAACTCGCCCTGCTCAAAGCCATACCTGTGAGAGCTGCAAAACCTCCTCACTGCATGTGGCCTGCACTCTGTCTGGCCCAATCCCAACCCCAGTCCTTGAACCCTAGAACAGCTTGGGTTGGAAGGGACCTTATACCCCATGGACAGGGGTAAAAAAAGGGAAAACCAACTTTAAACAGCCCATCTCGACAGCCCCTTAAACCAACTTCACCAAGAAGGCTTTAAGCATTATATTATTTCATAATATTGATAGATGTTACAGTAAAGATTTCTAACAAGATACTAACAGAGAGAGACAGGGCCATGAGGCAAGTGCAACAGGTTTGCTCTTCCACTACTCAGCTTCCACTTCAGTTGCAGTGAAATGGCTCCCAGCTGCTCTTGGTTTTAGGGATGAGGAAACACAGTTCCCTGTCTGACAGCAGAAAACATGGATTAGAGCACCAGCCAGATCTAAGCCTTCCCCTCCAGTTCTCTCCTGCCTTTAGACAAAGCTACAACCACTAAAAACCCACGAGTGTTGTCAGGGGCTTTGGAGTGCTGGCTTAAAAATATCATAAGCACAAAGCATTCCTTATGTCCAACATAGGAAGGTTTGTTTCCTCTATTCCTGAGCAAATATACGAGCATGGACACAGACCTACAGGATTTAAACAGCCTGGAAATAAACTGAGAGAAACCATGTGCATTGCTGAGCAGCACAGCGAGGGAATCCTGTCCTGGTGCATCAATCAATTAACTTCACTATGGCCAGGATTTGGAGCAGAAAAGAGCAAACAGCCTTGGGATCACGGGATGAAAGGAACTGTGGGAGTGTAAGCAGCGTTCCCTCGCTGCCACGGGAAACAGTTGGCTTTGCCTGGATATGGAATATCCAGGAATTGAACCCTGTAGTCAGAAATGCTGCCCTGTAGGATATGGGAAAGCCAAGGCAACGCAGCATTCCCAGGATGACTGAGAGCAGGAGAAAGTGCTGGTCCACCCTATAGGGAATATTCTCCCTCCTCCCCTCTGAGGTTATAAATTAGGAAGAAGAAAAGAGCTTTGTAAAATCCATCAGAAAGCATTCCTGTATTCCAGGGACTGTGAAACAGGCTGTTTCACGGGCTCATACAACACCCCTCAGTTATGCCTTAAATCACATGTTCCAAGGGGGCAGTGACACTTGACACTGTTAATACTCCCTTAACCAGCAGTGTCAGCTGAGCCACAAAGCAGCACAATTCCAGAAATAACAGCTCCAATCTGGCCAATCCCACCTTTCTGCTTCTGGCCAGTGAACCTCAGCATGGAAAACCTCACCAAAAGCCCACCCAAAAGCCCACCCCATCCTGCCCAGCTCAGCCTGACTCAACACCCAAAAGTCCCAATGCAGAGAGTTCCTCCTCAACTGCAAACCTGACCATCCGACTGCTTTTCACGGGATATCCTTCCTAAAATCCCTGGAACCTGCAAGGAGCCAAGTATCCCAGGCCTGGGCACGGAGAAAGAACCAAACCAAACTTCCCTTTAGAGTTTTCCATTGATTGTTTTTCCACAAAACACCAGGCAGATCACTATTGGAGATCTTTTAGACCCAGGTTAGGGCAGCATTCCTAGAAATCCAAGTGCATGACTAAAGGCCAGGGATTTTTGTGGTTGTTCAAAAAGAAGATAAAATAGTTCTTACAGGGAAGACATCAGTGACATGCTCTGCCATAAAAGCAGCTGTTCTGGGTTTCAAGAAGTCCTAAACTGCTCCGGGTAGGATTGCACTGGGAGTTGGCTTCATCATTTTGGGTCAGGAGACCATCCAACCCTTTTAAAAAACTGGATCAGTAGAGCAAAGCAAGACACTGAAAAGGAATGGACACGAACCTCCAAGGACAGTATGGGCACAGGCAACAGGAAAGGACAAGCAAGAGGATTATTCCAGTGTTTTCAACACTGAACTACCTACCCCCCCTTCACTGGACAATGGGAGTAACACAAATACTAAGTAGAGCATTTTTCATATCATTTCTTGGACCTGCTTTAGGGAATTCTGAAGAAATGAGGAGTATAAAAGAATACTCAAGAACTCCCAGACTTTCACAAGAGCTCATTCATCTTGGGCAGCAATCAGGAATCAAACTGCAAATCAGCCAAAGGTTTGGGCAAGTTAAAGCTAAATGAGACAATTTCAGCCTGGGAGAAGTTCAAAACAAGCCAAACCTTGAGACATTTAAGCTTCAAGGAACACGACTGCAGAGCATTAACATCTCACACTGTGGCAGAGACAAAGAGCTGGGAGCAATGGGATTTCCCCAGCACAAAAAGCAGCACAAAAAGCAGGCAGGGAGCTGCTGCCAGAGCAGCATTTGAACTTTTCAGTGCTTCAACTCTGGTTCCTCGTGGATTTTTTTTAATTCAGGTGATTACCTGAGACGCTCCAAGGCAGACAGAGCATGGCTTGGGCTTCTTTGGCACCTACAACCCCGGGGTGAGCATCACCCCAGGCAAAACCAAAACCCTGCCTGAGCAAAAATAACTGGTTCTCAATGAAACCACGAAAAGAGCAGTCACAGAAACCTCAGCCACTTTCCAGGCTGCGTCAGAGAGCGATGGAGGAGGTCAAACTGTCCTGCAAGAACAACCGAGTCACTTCCTCCGTGCCGGATGTCCCAGGGGCCCCGAGCGTGACACAGCCAGGGAGTAAATGGCAAAAAGCAAACACTAACCCCTGTTTTTACACAGCTCCCTCCTCATCTGTGAATTCCAGAGACCTATGACTAAGTTCCTTTTCAAAGAGCAAGCGCTTTCCTAATCAACTGCTGCTGCATCCACTCGGATGTGGTCGGGGAAGGCGGCGCTATCGCCGCTGCTTCCGACCCTCCACAGCACAGCCTGGAGTGAAGCAAGAAGGGGAGGAGACTTCAAAATGCAACTGGGAAGATGGTTTACAAGCTTTAAGAAAATTGCCAAGCCTCGTTTCTAGCGTCTTCCTGATTTTCAGGCTTTAGGCAGCAAACATGGCAGCTTTCCCCAGGGAGAAACCATTGGTCTGACTGCTTTTCCCACAGCCTTTCCCATTCTTCCCTTCTTTCTTCAGCTTACAGGTACTCAGGATTAACTCATCCATCTGCCTCTCACCTGTCCTCCAGCAGCATTTTCCCTCTCCCCTGTATTCTCTTACAGTACTAAGGTTTGACTCTCTCACACTGCAAACTGTTGCTCCCTAAAGTCAGATCTGGAGGATGTCACAGAACCATGGAATGATCTGGGTTGGAAGGGACTCTAAAGCCCATCTCATTCCATCCCCTGCTATGGGAGGGACACCTTCCACCAGCCCAGGCTGCTCCAAGCCCTGTCCAACCTGGCCTTGGACAGTTCCAGGGATGGGGTAGCCACAGGTTCTCTGGGCAACCTGTGCCAGGACCTCCCCACCCTCCCAGGGAAGAATTCCTTCCCAACTTCCCACCTAACCCTGCCCTCCAGCAGCAGGAAGCAAACCACCTTTGTGCTTAAGTGATATTATTTATAAAATGCTCCATGTAAAATATACATCAAAAATCCAAAACTGCATCAACTGTCACTGTGAGCAGCTGCAGCTCCTGACTCTGTTCTTCAACTGCTGGATGAAAAATTCCCTGTTGTTGCAACTAAAGAGATCATCAGGAAACTTGGCAAACTCCCAGCCAGCTGTGCTAATGCTAATTTGTAATTATCATTTTGATCAAACACAAGCCAGATCTGCATTGTGGGGAGGGGCAGCCCCAGGTGACTTTACCACAGCTGAACCCAAGCACAATTCAAAGCCCACTGGCCACTGAATTTGGGGCAGGATTTCCAATTAACAAGTTGTTAAGGAGTACACGATGAGAGGAGGCTTTGAGCCAACCCCAGCAGCACCCAGAGGAGCTGCAGGCAGGTGGTGAGCTCAGCACAGGTGCCACACTGATGGTGACAGCAGGTGACAGCCCACCCTGGCCCCAAACACAGCCACAAGGAACAGAACAACCCGATCCATGTCCACTGGAGACAGGACAAGCAGTCAGAGATTTCAGTTACAGTGAAGGAGATTTAGGCTGGGCATTAGACAAAGCCTCCTTACAGGAAGGATAATTAAGCATAGGAATAGACTGCCTGGGGAGGGACAGGAACTGCTGTTCCTGGAGGTTCTACAAGTGGTGGGAAACATCTGTCACACTGACCCCACTGTGGGCATGGGGTGGATTAGAGCCATCTCTGATTGCTACAACTCCCCAAACCTCCCACTGATCTCCAAGTACAAACTGCTCTGCCCCAGGAGCTGACAATGGCACAGAAATACATTTTGGTTAAAGCACAGCACTCAGGGGAGGCTGAGGCTCAGGGCAGCCCAGGCAGGGCCTGGGCAAGGCTCCTCATCCTGCTCTGCCAGGAGCTGGCACCTGATTCACAGACTGGTTTGGGCTGGAAGGGATGTTAAAGAACATCCAGTTCCAACTCCCTGCCATGGGCAGGGACACTTTCCACTAGCCCAGGTTGCTCCAAGCCCTGTCCAATCTGGCCTTGGACACTTCCAGGGACCCAGGGACAGCCACAGCTTCTCTGGGCAACCTGTGCCAGGGCCTCCCCACCCTCACAGGGAAGAATGTATCCCTAATATCCAATCTAAACCTACTCTTTCAGTTTGAAGCCATTCCCTCTTCTCCTGTCACTTATAAATAGTCCCTCACCATCTTTCTTGTGGGCTCCCTTCAGGCACTGGAAGGCTGCATTTAGGTCACTCCAAAGCTTCTCTTCTCCAGGCTGAACAACCCCAGCTCTCTCAGCCTTTCCCCACAGGAGAGGCTCCATCCCTCTAATCAACTTGATGGCCTCCTCTGGACATTTTCCCCCCAAACAGGGACTACCATGTGGGTGTGGGTTCCAAGTGTGGGCAGGCAGGTAGCCAAAAGGCAGCTGATGCCCACCAAGCCTGTTCACAAGCCTGGTTCACACCCTGGAATTCAGTCCAGCCCATGGCAGCCCCTCCTGCCCCTCAGGACTCGTCCGAGCCCCACGAACACATTACCTTTTTAACATTTTCCTCCTCCTCTTGGCGTTTCTCGTAGTGTGAGAAGTCATCAAAGATGGAGGTGGTGTGCTTGTAGGTGGCAATGATTTTCAACACCTGCTTAGCCTTTTCCAGAGGCACCTCCTGAGTGTCCCTGGAGTTGGTCACTGGTTTATTCTCGTTGTTCTCTAGGCGGATGTGCCTCAGCTGGCTGTTGGGAACGTCCTTCACAAAAATCCACCTGACATCAAAGCGTCCCTTCCACTTGTCCTGGGACCACACCCCTGCACAGGTGTTATAGTCCACAGCAGATTTCATCTCTGCCACGCCGCAGAAGTGGCCGCTACCGTTGACGCTGAACAGTAAGTACACGGGGCCCTTGCCGTTCATGGAGCGATAGGCCGCGTCCAGTCTCTTGTTGCCGTGCTCCGTGCTGCACCAGATGTTGTACTTGATGGAGCGGTGGATGTCGTCCTCGGAGTAGCTCTTAATGATGAACACCCGCCCGTGCTTCGGGTTCCAGTCAAAATCCTTGGGGTTGTAGTTGTTGATGGACCTCAGCTTCTCCAGGACCGGGTGCGGCTCCGAAGGGGAGCCGGAGCTGCTCTGGGCCGTCCCCACCCCGTTACCGTCCACGCCGTTCTGGCCGAAGCCGCCGCCGCGGTTGCGGGGGGCGACCCAGCGGG